ATATATTAACACAACGATATACTCAACCTCACAAGAAGAAAGTGCAACCACATGTTCCTTTTTAGAGCATCAAGATATTGGAGCTCCTCCGAACATAAAGATATAACCAGCCGTAGACTTTTGATCATCCTTTATCTCCGCACCAATTGGAATCTGTATAATCGAGTAACTCACAATTTCTGCCCGTATCAGCTGCGGGAAAGAGAATTCCATAGCCAAGAGTTTCTTTGATGTATCTTAGGATTCTCTTAACTGTTGCCAAATGAGAAACCTTTGGTTTCTTCATGAATCTACTTGCAATACTGACACTAAACGCCAAATCTGGCCGCGTATTATATAAGTTACACAATGATCCAATCAATCTCCTATATTGAGTTGGATCCACACCTTTCTCATCTTTACTTTTGGAAGCTGCAACCTTGCTTCAACCGGTGTTATGGCAGCATTACCATGCTCCATATCACACTTTTTCAAAATCTCAAGAGCATACATTCTTTGATGCATAAGCAGCCCCAATTTTGACTTATGGAACTCTATGCCAAGAAAGTGGTCATGATTTCAAGGTTGCTCATTTCAAACTCTTTTATAAGCTCACTCTTGAACTTAGAAATATTCACTTCATTGTTGCCCTTAATTAATAAGTTGTCCACATATAAGCAAAGTATAATCACTTCTTTGCTTGCATCCGTCTTCACATAAACACCTTGTTCGGATACACACTTCTTGAAACCAACCTCAATTAGAAATGTATGTATGCATTTGTTCCAAGCTCTAGGTTCTTGTTTCAAACCATAAAGTGCCTTCTTCAATTTGCAGACCCCCCTCTTGAATCTTCACCACAAAACTAAGGGCTGCTCTAAATAGACTTCCTCCTCAAGTGGACCATTCAAAAATGCAGATTTTACATCCATTTGATACATTGACCAATTATTGTTATTCTCAATACCAACAACCAGCTGCATAGTTTCCAATCTATCCACATGTGCAAACAACTCATCATAGTCTATACCTTCTCTTTGCAAAAATCCCTTTGCTACTAGTCGAGCCTTATGCTTGACAATTTCGCCTTTTGGATTTGCCTTCACTTTATAGACCCATCTCACACTGATTGGCTTTTTCTGTTCCAATAAATCGACCAGCTCCCAAGTACTATTTTTCTCAATCGATTCCAGCTCCTCTTTCATCGCACACACCCATTTTGAATTGCTTAATGCCTCATTCGTGGTCACGGGCTCAGATTCGACCATAAGCGCAAAGTGAATAAGATCACCATCACTGTTGATTTCATTATCATGGAATACTTCACAATCTCGGAGCCTTTGAGGTAGACCTTTGTGCCTTGTTGGACGTCTACTATATTCACTGTTTTCAACTCCGACAGGCTACTGAACTGTTTCTGCATAATGCTGATTTTTTTCATTTTCCTGTGGAAACCGGTTTCCAGAAACAAGGAAACTGGTTTCTACTTCCAAAAATTAAATTACAGCAGCTTCAGTATGCAGAAATCGCGAAGGAAATCGGTTTCCTTTTGTTGGGAAATCGGTTTCTGCTGTTGTCATGTGAATTTTTCTGTTGTGAAACAGCCTGAACTCATCCACGATCACATCTCGACTAATCAAGATCTTCTTTCTACTCACATCAAATAACTTGTAGCCTCTAGTAGGATGATAACCAACTAGCAACATTATCTCTCCTTTATTATCCAACTTCATTCGAAGCTGACTCGAAATATGTCGAAATGCTACCGAACCGAAAACCTTCAAATAACTCAAACTTGGTTTATGACCAGCCCATACCTCTTCTGGTGTCACTTTGTCCAGCTTCTTAGTAGGGCACCTATTCAACAAATAGGCGGTTGTAGATACGACTTCACCTCATAATTCCTTCAACAAGCTTTTGCCCTTCAACAAGCTATGAACCATATTCATTATCGAACGATTTCTTCTCTCGGCAACACCATTTTGTTGAGGCGTATAAGGTGGTACAACCTTACGCACTATACCCTCAACATCACAATAATTCCCAAACTCACTCGATGTATACTCGCCTCCACCATCAGTTTTGAGAATTTTCAACTTGTGACCACTTTGCTGCTTCGCCGTGGATTTAAAATGTTTGAACATATCAAACACTTCATATTTCTTCTTGATTAGATAAATCCATAGCTTTCTACTAAAACCGTCAATAAGAGTGATAGAGTACCTATTTTCACCATACGATTCGATTTGCATTGGACCACAAACTTCGGAGTACACCACCTTAAGATGATGTTTGGTCCTATGACCTACATCCTTGCTTAAACTATTATTGTGTTGCTTCCCTTGAACACACTCTTCACAAATCTCAGTTGGAATATTGATCTGGGGCAGTCCGATCACCATACCATTCCTTTGCAATGCGTCAAGGTCTCGAAAATTGAGATGTCCAAGACGATAATGCCACAACCACTCATCATGATTTGCCTCTGTAGCAAGACACTTGTGCTCTATCACTTTCAACTCTATCTTGAAAGTACAATTTGCAGCCATGGGTGCTCTAAGAACTAAGACTCTGTTTCGGTCTAAAACACACAAAATATTGTTTTCCATGCGAATTATGTAATTCTTCTCAAGCAATTGATCAATACTCAAGAGATTATATTTAATTTCAAGAATGTATAACACATCTTTGATCAAGGAGTGACTCCTATCCTTCGTGATGATCAAAACAACACCCACACCATCGGCCGCTAAAGTTGTGTCATTCGCGAATCTTACTTTGTTCTTCGTAGCTTGATTGATTTTGACAAGCCAATCCTTTCTACCTGTCATATGCGTTGAACAACCAAAATTCAAGTACCACTAATCACTGCCTTGGACTCCATCTCGAATGGTTACCATTACATTTCGCTCCGGACGTGTTTCTGTAGAATTTTCTGCACTGCAGACACTGCAGCCCAACTTCTGACAACTGTTACTACTGCTATCCAGCAGTTTTTTCATGCCATAATTCTCCTCTGTGATCATGACTAGAAGCGTGTTATCATCACCCACCTCTTGTCTAGCTACCTTAACTTCATCACCTTAATTTTCCTTCAATTTCGCATTACATTCTCTTGCGAAATGCCCAAGTTTGTGACAATTGTAACACTTTACACCACTCTTGTCAATCTTTTTGATGTAGTTACCTTGACCACCACCTTTGGAGTTGCTCTCTCCCTTTTGCACCATCAAAGCCTTTGAATTTTGTGACTCTTTGCCACCAAAATTATGAGAATTTGTCTTCCCTTTTGAGGACTATTTTTCTTTCGATCTATTGTTCTTCTCATTGAACTGTGCTTGTAACGCAATCTCCACTTTCGCCTTGTCATTTCCTCTTTCATCCATCCTTTGTTCATGAGCCTCTAGTGAGCTTTGAAGCCCATCCTTGTTTATTGTGAGAAGATCATTTGATTCTTCTATTGCAACCATTATACTGTCAAATCATGGCGTTAAAGAACGCAAGATCTTTGCTACCATATTTTGCACCATTACGGTTTCACCGCAAGACTTCATTTGGTTCACTAAATGTGTTATACACGTAATGTAATCATTTATCGATTCCTTCTCTTCCATTTGCACTAATTCGAACTGCTTCTTGTGAGTTTGTAACCTCACAACCTTTGCTTTATCGGCCCCTTCATAAGTTTTCTTCAAGATCTCCCAAGCTTGCTTCGCCGACGTGCAATCTCCAACCTTTTCAAAGTTATAGTTGTCGACGCAAGAATGTATCAAGAAGAGTGCTTCATAGTCTTTCTGTAGTTTGTTGTGCAGTTGTAGCTTTTGTCTTAAGAGGTGTAACACCAACGTTAACGACTTCGAGAACTTCTTGATACCCAAACAAAACTTTCATTTGTTTGCACCATTTGTCATAGTTCTTGGAATCAAGAATTGGAAGGTTGGTAGGGATTCGATCACTGAAAATGGTAGACATAATTTGCAGCGGGTTAATGGATCAGAACCAGTCTCTTGATGCCAAATGTTAGAACATACACAAAATGAAGTAGGTGAATTAATGGTGAAAAATGGTTAATTGGAGAAGATGAAGTTTAGAGAAAAAAATAAAGATTATTAGAGAGAGAGAGAGTAATTGAGGAAAAACTCATAAAATAACATTAACAAAAAACACATTACATGAGAGTTTATATAGGATACACTTAAACATCTTTGGAACCAACACATGCCCAACAAAACAGTAAAAATCTCAAAATATCGCATCAAAAACCGATTTCCTAAAACAGGAAAACCGATTTCCCCAACAGAAAAAACACACAGGAAGTCAAAAACATATGATAGAAACCGGTTTCCTCAAACTAGAAAACCAATTTCTTTTTCGAAACACAAAATCTTTATAGTTTCCAGAAATGTTTTTCAAAAAAGCTATTTTACACGAAATAAACTTATTTTTTAAATATATTTGAATTATATCCAACATTCAATAACTTTATCTTCAAAGTAAATAAATAGAACTTCATAAGAAGAATTTTGCAAAGCTATTAACTTAACTTTAACGATCTCTAATGTTACAAGCTAGATTCATCCTGTCTATATTGATACCATATTTAATTAGATTTGACTAAAGAGAAAATACAAAACATTAAAATAAAAGAAAAATCTCATTAGTTTTTACTTTTTATTTAGTCAAATGTAAAATACCATAATCTAATTGTAGTGAACTCGCATTACACTAGCAATTTCCTTACTCATTGGTTTTTTTTTTTGTTTTTGTATAAGGTGATTTTTATTGTTTATCTCAAGTAATCTTGACTTTATTTTTTTTCTTACGACTTATCCAAGAAAAAAAAATACAAGAAACCCCTTATTTTATTTTATACATATCCCAAAAAAATTCAATTGGTAGTTACTCTAGAAAGAAACTGATATTGCTATATAAAATCTACCACGTAAGATACATAGTAAAACTTCCCAATATTTAAATTATCAAATCTCTTCAACTGCTAGTAACTTGAGAATTTATCATCAATGGCCAAAAAATCTGAACGCATCCAAGACCATAAAACTTCAAGTGTTGAAGAAAGCAACACTAACATCATGCAACTTTGTTTATCAAATCATACCATTACCTTGACACAAAAGGTATCTGTCACTTTTCTCATAAACTTCAAAAATATTAATCAGATTATTACCAGAGTCCTCTTTGAACACGTGAATAATAAACTATAACACAGTATCTTAAATTTTTCACCGTTAAATTGTAGTTAAATAGTATTTATAATAGATTTCTCACGGTTAAACCATGACTATATAAGATTCTCAGTTGTTTTATCACAGTTGAATCACAATTAATTAACACACAGATCTCCAAAAACTTAAGACGACTCTACATGTAACATATCAAATGATTTTATAATGTTGAAAAATAAAAAGTGAGAAATGTTGTATTGATTAATTTATTTTTTCTCTTGATTGCTTCTAGGTGATTGCAGAATTCATTGGAACATATTTTGTGGTATTTGCTGGTTGTGGTGTTATAGCAGTGAACAAAATTTATGGCTCTGTGACATTTCCAGGGATTTGTATCACTTGGGGACTTATTGTAATGGTAATGTGTTACTCGGTTGGTCATATATCTGGTGGGCACTTCAACCCTGCTGTTACCATCACTTGGGCCATCTTTCGCCGGATCCCGATTAAAGAGGTAGTTTTATTTTTGTATAAATCAGGTATCTCTGCGTGCAATTACAAAGACTAATCTTTTGAATCGAAGTCGACCATAATATGTGACAAAATCTTGGATGATTTTTATACATGTAGGCTCCACTATACATTCTTGCTCAATTGTCTGGATCAATACTTGCAAGTGGCACATTGTCTCTAATGTTTGAGATCACATCCGAAACTCATTTTGGAACGGTACCAGTTGGATCAAATGCTCAATCTTTAGTTATTGAAATCATCACCAGTTTTCTCTTATTGTTTGTCGTTTCAGCAATAGCCACGGACGAAAGAGTGGTAAACACCCATAAATATCAATTTATATGTACATCTGCGCACTTACGAATGCATGTCTGACAGCCGAAAGGTCAACATTTTGGACGTTTAAATTAATTTAACGGTTAAGATTTGAGGGAGGGCGAAACTGTTTTCAAATTTGAATTTAACTAACTTTATGTTAGTTTTATAAATTTAAGATTCTAATAGACATTGCTTAACTTGATGGCAGGTGAATAACTTGACAGGTGTTGCAGTTGGAATGACTATAACGTTGAATGTCTTTATTGCTGGGTAACTAATTGTTGATTAATCACATTTAAATATTTTTGTATTCTCAATATAAATGTTTTATTTTCTTTGTTGTCTTTCTTCATGATTCGAGAGATTAATTAATTTAATTAGTTTCTGATTCGATTGATTAGTTCGTACAGTTGCAGAGTCATCATATCTGATTTCTATTTTTAAAAAAAAATTTATTTACAAAATTATTTGCAGGCCTGTATCAGGGGCATCTATGAACCCAGCAAGAAGTATTGGTGCTGCCCTTGTGGTACATGTTTACAAAGGGTTATGGATATACATTGTTGGTCCAATAGTTGGAGCTATTGGTGGAGCAGTTGCCTATGACTTTCTTAGATCCATAGAGAAACCACATTCAGAGTTACCATTGAGGAACATAGTTGTAGTTTGATTATATACTAGTACTAAACTATTTTCTTTATTTTTAAGTAGGTACTTTGGCTCAATAATAAGTGTTTGATTTATTATTGTAATAAAACTATGATCACGTTGTCTCCAAATCTTAATTCAAATTGCTGAAACCAATATTATTAAATTGAACGTCATCATTCGAATTCGAACTCTGATAATTGTAATTACTATTATATCTAGAGACAAAAAAAAACTATGATCGTCCACTTTATGCAGTTATGAGTTATAAGAGAATATAGCACCATTTTGTTTTAATAATTTGTATTATATATTTTGGTTCAAGAAAGATTATATAGGGAGAGACAAAAAAAAAACAATGGGATTAAAATTAAATAATGTACCAAAATATGAAAAATAAAATGGAGATGAACAAGAACAAGGAACAAGGAACAAAAAGAAAATCAAACTTTTGTTTCTTGATGATATATATCAGCTTCGTGAAGTCATCCAAATATAACAATGATTAACTTTGCTCCCAAGCAAGCTAAAACCAGCATTAACCCCACAGTTCTGTTTTGGGCAGCAGAGTAATAATAGTATACTTCCGTAGGCTCACCCGATACGTATATGAACCTCGGTGGAGGTGGTGGACGCAATTTTGGAGGTGGTGGAGGTGGATAAGATGGTGGCGTTGGTGGTGGTGGATTAGTATTCGGTGGAGAGGAATAAGGAAGCGGTAGCGATTCTTGTGGTGGTGTAGGAGGAGGTTGCGGCGGGGAACTTTGTTCCTCGTCGCAAGGGTTACCACAAGGACATGATCCACATTTGATTTCAATGTCTAGTGGTTGAGAAGCCAATGATGTGTAAGCATTGATTGAAATGAAGAATAGAAGAAACATTATTGGAAAATTTTGAGAAGTGTGTTTGGGAGTCACCATTGTATGAGTAAACTGAAACTTGATTACTAGTTTTGAGGTAAGGTATAATAGATATAAGAGCTTGAATATGAAGTAGAGCATGTGTGTAGAGCTTGGTTGTGATATTCTTGGCTTACTTATATTGCACGAATGCTGAGGCAAAGTAAAGATTACTCATTAAGTAACCAATAAAATTCTTGGAGAAACAGAATACTCCAATGTTGTATAAGTTTTGTGAATGTTTAGTAGAAACATAATACTCCAATATAAGAGTGTAAATGATTATATCAATCTATAATTGATTAATTTAATCACTAATTTAACATTTTAACATTCTATCACTTGGATAATACTTCAATTTTAATATTTTAATATCAATTTTGTTCGCGACACTAGTAAAAAAAAGTAAGTTTCAATATTCCAAAAATTGTAAAACAAATCATATATGTCAAATGCTTATGTTTGTTGAATTTAAAAGAATTTTTGTATATATTCCAGTGTAATAGAATGAGAATAAATTTTAAAAGCTCAAGTGTGATATTTTATAACGTATAAAGTGTAAAAAGTTGGCATGATTCTTCCTTGTAAATGAGTGTTATTCGATGTCTTACTTTAATGTAGCTTGCACTTATAACATAAGAATATCCCAACTCTTGTTTTTTATTTCTAAATCCTTTATGCTGTCAACCTTATAAAAACTAGTAAGAAGAGGAAAACACACGCGTTTTAGCAATACCAAAATATTTATATAGCCTTTTGAATTTGAATGTTTGTATGTGTAATTTCTAAATTCGATATTAACATTAAGTAGTTAGTGTAATTCAATCTATTCTTACTTTTCCTTCAAAACCTTTTTTAAGAAAACAAATTTCTATAGTCTTATGGAAAAAAAATAATTTTAATATTTTTTTTACTAATATTATAGAAATGTTAAAGACATAAATGTAAAATTTGACATTATCATAAAATAGAAAGTAGTTTTTGGTTGTTTGTAAGCCGCACATGTTCAAGATTTTTTCTTTGCTATTCGTATTGATGGATTAGACCAACATATGTCATTGATGAAGTATCGTACTATTCTAAAATATTGTCTTATGATTCATTTATTTTCTATTGATAAAGTTTGTCTTGTTTGTCGTAAGGTGTGTTTGGATACATTTGGAAAACACATGATTCATTGTAGGGAGCTTCCATACTTCAAATACCGACTGTTAGTCTAGATTTTCGATCACACTAAGCTCAATGAGTTGAGAAAGAGTTCAGAGAAAACTAAGTGGATTTTGGGAGAACTAGAAGGGTATCTTTAATGTAAACTCATCAAGATCAGCTAGTTGAAGTGTCAAGCATAAGAAATAGGGACTTAGTGTTTTTCTCAAGAATACATTGACGACAATCAATAGAGTCAACGTTTCGACTGAATGGTTAGCCTAAGTCTCCGACAATAATGTATCAGGCAGAAGGAAAAGTAGCATAACTATTTTTTGGTCTTATCCGAAAGTACATGTGAAGACGGATCCAAGGACGAAATGCATTCAGCGAAGACGTGTCGATCTCCAGGAAGAAATCCATTGAAGGCATTTATTCTAGTATTAATATAAAAAGAAATTTTAATGTTAGGATTTTGGGTATTGAATTTACTACAAAACTCACTATACTCAAAGTACTCAAGCAAAGCGAGAAACGAGTCAATTGAGTGTAAAGTACGTATTTGAACATCAATTTCATTCAATGCAAAGCCTTTTACTTTAAATTTATCTTATCTACATTTCAGTTTCGTTTACTTCCACTTTGTCATGATTTCGACTACCGTTGAAGTCCTTTACATTTCCACCATTTTTTACTTTCATTTCTTTTAATTGAATACCGAGATTACGTCGAAATCTTTTACTTTTCTTACAAACTTGTACAAACCTCAGAAGACTTTATGCATTATGTTCTAGGATTCACTAGTAGATCCTGCAAGTAAACTTTTAAAAAGAGACTAGAAGGTGTTTACCAAATTTCATGGTAAACAAATTGGCGCGTCCTATAGAACCTTGTGCTAATGTTTTTTAAAAAATATTTTACAAATTTTATGTTTCTCTGATGTGATTTGTTCTTATTACATATAATAGTTACAATGTTTATTTATGCATGAATTTAAAAAGTGGAACATTTATGCCTGAAATGTCATGTCCAAATATGGATAATAATAACACTTCTAATACACCATAGAATAATTCACAAAACATAGTTAAAATATCAGTTGAATCAACGACTGAGAATGCAACGGTTTTGTATCCTATCGGGATATCTATCGAATTTGCATCAATAACGACAGTTTTGTCAATACCTTCGCAAGGGGCAGTCCCCCCACCACCACCAGGAGGTTCCCCTTTTAATCCTTCGGTCATGAGATCTATCTTTGGGAATCTTGGCTCACAATATTTTCTCAAGGCCAACATGTAATAGAAACTATATTTATGGTATGCCAACGTCGATGATGAAAAGTCTTCACTACATCACATCCACATACGCGGAAAATGCTATGACCACAGCGCCACCCTATAATCCCCAAAATGCCTCAGCTTCGACCATAAACAATATAGGTCGACGACCAAGGATAAGTTGTATTCCCCAAACAACATCATTATTGAATACAACATCCATGTCGACTATGAGGAAGCAAATGGATGAAAGTAACCTTGAAATGGTAAATAATTTGACCCAAAAATAGGCATAATATTTAACCCTCTAATTAAAAACACTAATCAAAGTTATGAGGTACTGGGAAATCAAATGGGTCGAATAAATGATTTTTTCGGTGCTCCACAAGTTCAGGCGCGACCAACCCCCTAAATATCAAATGTGATACAAGTTGAGATGCCTAACAATGGGATTCTATGGGGAGTGAGACCCCCCAGAACCTACCCAAAATAGAGAGGATGAAGAATACATTGGCCAGTATAATCATAGGCTAATAATGGTACTGCAAAATCAAGATCCTGACCAAGTACTTAAAATCGTCAAATAAAATAATTTAGGGGGAATAACAACATAGCAAATGCGGTCGGCCAAATTTTGGCCTAAAGTGGCCTTAATTTGGGCTTACATATGCCTAATTTCATCTAACCATTGATATAATATGGTCGACAAACAGAACTCTCCAGAGGTTGGAAAGTCCCAAAGTTTACCAAGTTCGTTGGAGAGACTAATGAGTCGACAGTGGAACATATCATCATGTATCAAACAGAGGCCAACAATATTGAAAATAACGAGAATCTGTGAAATATTTTTCTAATTCTCTTACAAAAATTGTTTTCACTTGGTTCACCATACTCCCTCCACAATCCATACACACTTGGAATTAATTAGAGCGAGTGTTTCATGAGAAATTCTACATGGGTGTGTCAAAAATAAGTCTTAAGGAATTGACCAATGCTAAGCGTAAGATGTCTGAGTCGATTGACGGCAATCTGAATAGGTTTAGACTCCTTAAAGCAAGATGTTTTACACAAGTCCCTGAACATGAGTTGGATGAGATGGTTGTAAAAGGCCTAGATTATTCCATAAAGAATAAACTAAACACTCAGTATCTTAAAGATATAGTCCAATTGGCAGACAGGGTTCGCCAAATCGAATGCTTGAAAGCTGAGAAAGCCAGAACAAATAAGTTCAATAAAAAAGACAAATTTGCATATGTAGACACAAATGAGTATCTCTCTTACTTAGTCTATGAATATTTCAAAGAAAGTGAGGTTCATGTCGCTAAACTAAAACCAGGACCTCCAAATGTGAGCGAATTGTTGAAACCATTGAACGAGAAAAATCCCATCCAGCCTAGTAAGAATGAAAAATTTGTCATAAGAACATATACCTTCGACATAACAAAGTGTGACAAAATATTTGATTTATTGGTTAGTGATGGGCAGATTATAGTGCCTCCGGGCCTAAAAAACCCCATTAGAAAAAAGGAAAAAGAAATATTTTTTTAAGTACCATAAATTTTTTGGTCATAAAACTTCTCAATGTGTGCTTTTCAGAGATTTGGTGCAGAAAACGTTGAACAGGGGAAGGTTGCAATTCAGCCAAAAGCCAAAAGCCTATATGCAAGTGGATGTTAATCTACTCTAGGTTACAGAAGCCAACTTTGTCGAGCCTGTCGAGATCCTAATGGTCGAGACTGTCGATGGTCAAGACATGGATGTCGAAAATGCTGAACAGGTGGATGACTTGTTTGAGAAAAGTGTGGTTGAGATGATGAATGTGTTTTTTCCTCAAGATGAAGAGGGATTGATCGATTTACTGAATTGATGCAAGTTGAGAGACTTAAAAAATATGTTTTGCCCCAGGTATAGTGTAGTGTACAACGAGAAAGCGATGAAAGCTATCGAAGGTTTGGACAAGCACCCAGGTTTGTCTTTGACAAACATGGAGTTCTGAAGGTGTGAGAAACACAAGAAAGAGGAGTTTAAATTGGGTTTCTATATTTAAAAACAAATTCTTCCCAAGAAAAAACAAATAACACAAGAACAAAAATAAATGACACATATATTTTTATCCTGGTTCACTGTTAACAAAGTTAATCCAGTCCATCCGCCAAGGTAATTTTTCTATCTCAAATAAGGACGTAATCCAATATAACCCAAATGATTACAGACACAACAAATACCAACTGCCAATGTTGCAAACCACAAAGACTACTTGTCAATGTCTTCTTGAGAATCCTGACTAAATCCCTAGTCTCTCAAGGAACAATCAACTTAAGAGTTGAAATACGAAGATTGTGTTTACAGAGTTGCTTCTTGAAAGCAGATTACACAAATTTTAATACAATGAAATAACAAAACAATGTTAATGAACAAAACCTCCTTGCACTCAAGTTAATGAACAAAATGTCCTTGTGTTTACAAAACTTTACAAATGAATATTTGAAAATAGATTTGAGTAGTGTTTCGGTGTAAGTTTTGTAGAGAGTTGGTTTTTCCATTATTTCTTAAATATTTCAAGTCTTCCTTTTATATCCAAAAAGAAATTTGTTGGAGTGTAGAAATTAAATACTTAATTCCAGTTGTTTTGTCTATAACGGTCAGTGAGAGAGTGGTAGACAACATAATACTATC